GGGAGGGGCAGCAGCCAGCGGCGGGCGGGGGACGGGTCCACCCCCTGGAGCCACGCGTGGCCCTCGATCTGCTCCAGGGAGGCGCGCTGCTTCGGGTCCCGCTGCAGCATCCTGGAGATGAGACTGACGGGGAAAAGGGTGATGCTGCAGTCCCGCAGCGGCACGCAAACCCCAAACTCGGCAGCTTTACCCCCTTTTCCCACCTCAGCTCCACGGCATCCCCCAGGGACGGGGCACCCACCCCTGGGGGCAGCAAGCTGGGGTCCGGGGGGGTCCGGTGTGTGTGGGGGGAGAGATGCTTACTCAGCGCACTGTGCCGAGACGTGTGGGGGGACGGTGTAGCGGCAGTCCATGATCATGGTGAGGGTCTCGCTGTCATTGGCCTCCTGGAACGGGGGGTGGCCGCACACCAGCATGTAGAGGATGACCCCCAGGCTCCAGATGTCTGCAGGAAGCAGCAGCAGTTCGGGTTGTGCCCACCACGGCCCAGGAGAGAGCCCCGACCCCAGGGACCCCGTGGAGGGGGCCACCCCACCAACCCCCAGTGCTGATCTAGCAGAGACCAGTGCTCACTGGGATGCTCCTTGGAGGTAACAGCACCCAGGTCCTGCCCCACAGATGGGGAAACCACAGCCCCACCAAGGTCGGGAAGGACCTTCCCCATCCCCACATCCAAGTGGGTCTCAAGGTGCTTCACCAAAGCAGTTGAGGTCTTATCCCCTTTCCCAGGTGGGGACACAGAGGCCAACCCCAGGCTCTGTCACCTCCCCAGTCACCCACCCACGGCACCGTTTCATTACTCAGCTTCCCAGTTCCCAAACAGACCCCACCACCAGCATCCCACCACTGGGCTGTGCCGGAGGGGCCACCACGGCCATGGGACAGGGCACGCAGCACTCATCCAGGCTCTCCAGCTGCCTACAGCCGCGTGGGTACCAGCCCACAGGGACAGGGACAGAGCCAGCAGCATCTTCACCTGCTCCTCCTGCAGAGTACATAAACTCTCTGCAAAAGCGCTTTTTTAGGATGCTGAGCACGCCCCGGGGCTCTCCGTTAATACCTTCAGCTTCTTAAGTCAAGTGCTTGCGTTTGAAAATTTCTCATCCGCGCCACTTTTCTCCCCTTCGTTTCCCTTTGCAGAGCTGCAAGATTATTTTTTCTACCATCTCCGTAAGCCATCCCTGTTTTCAACTCCGGAGCCGCCTTTCCCCGAGCCGCCGCTGGGATTTTTCCTTTAAGGGCTCGTGTTTTGTTTTGCTAAATCCTCCTGGCCCAAATTCCAGCGGAGCTGGCTCGGGTCCCACTTCCCTCCCACGTCCCCTCTGTCACAACAGAGCCTCTCCGTGCCCCCAGCCCGGCTCTCTGTCCCCTGGAACGGTCCCCCCGGCCCCCCTGCACCCCGGCCAGGGGAGGAAGGGCACTGGGAGCCATGGAGAGGAAGCGGTTTCCAGGGCGGGGACGGAGCAGAGGAAACTTTCGGAGCTCCTCCGCCCAAACGCCAGCATCCCGAGCAGGTTTCCTTCCGGCATCACCCCCCGAAATAACCGCTAGAGCCGGCTCGACGGTGACTGTGCCCTCCCGCTGCTCCTCCCGAGCCCCGGCGGGTGCCATGCCAGGCTCACAGCCTGCTTGGGCTTCTTCCCCTCCCTGGTATGAACCATC